TTTGGTGGGACGGGGGAGGAAGTGTCTCAATATATAGTGTAAGCTGGCCTAGAACATGCCATCCTCCTGCCTCTGCCGCCTGAGTGCTGGGATTACAGGTCTACTAATTTTTGAATTGTTACACAGACACTTAAAAGCTACCAAAATTTGTCTCTATTATGACCCACTGCTTTCAATTCTACTCTTATTTTTAAGGAAAATAAATTACATTATTAAAAGGAAGAACAATCTTAAATGACCACTTAAAGGTTTTTGTTTAAGATTCCAAGAGGAAAAACTCAAATAGCTACAGAAATGACAACCTACGATAGCTCAATTTGAAGGAGAAATTCAACACTTAAAGTATTCAAAACAAAAATTTCTGTTAACCCAAAAATCAGTATTATGAAACAAGGATTTATTGATCTCTTTAAAAGTGTACTAAGAACCTGTCACATTCCACGGATTCCTAAATGAGTAGTGAAGAAGACAAATAATTAGTTCTATACTACATAGTAAAACCTATGAGGTGCGCACAGGGTGTCAATGAAGCCCAGGATAGGCACCTTAATCATGATTAGCTCTTACTTTCTCAGGAAACTTCATGTCACCTTTCTGGAAGCAAAGCCAACTCTTTGGCAGAATTACCAGTACTTTAGAAATCAAGGATCCCATATGTTGTACTATTAATTCTCATGGTTAATGATTTTTACTCTTCAGCACTAGTCAGAAGGGATTATTGGACCACATACACAGCATAGAAAAAGCATTCATTGGAAACCTCAACCCTTTATCAAAATTACACATGGTCCAACTACAATGTGGTAGTCTGGATTGGGTCCTGGGACAGAAGATGACCATGAGTGGAAAAACCTGTGAAATCCAAATGAAGTCTATAATTTAGTTAACAGTATCGTACTAATGTTAATTTCTTAGATGTAAAAGATGTACCATTGTTATATAAGAAGTTAACAATAGAAAAAACTGTGAAGGGCACGCATGAATACTCTGTACTACCTTTGCAACTTTTCTATAAACTTAAAGTTATTGCACAATACTTTTTTATACTTACATATGGTTCCTCACTTTACATTCTTATTCTCCTTTAGGATTCTGAACCCGCCTCCCTCAGCACTGCTCCAACTCAAGTAATGCTTGGCTTAAACATTTTTCAAAAAAATCTTTTTCAACTCCTTTCTATAAACCATTTACACAGGCCCCCTGGGGTTTCCTTCTTTACCAAGACATGAAAATCAAGATCATACTTGGGAGGTTTTAGCTGCTTTCTTTTCCTAAAAGCTTGACCATATACAGCAGGGTATATTCTTGGATTTGAACATCCCAAAGTAGACAAGAGGGATTAAAATAATATGGGATGAATTGTTGGATAAAATCAAGGGATCTGTATTAACTATTAGTTAACACTGTTATTACACTGCAGAAAAAATGTATACTAAATAGCCTTTATCTGATCTCTGGCCAAAAAGTACAATAAGTAGAAAATACAATTAATAGATGTTGACTATTAGTATCTCAACACTAATAGGTGAACCACTGAAATGAATGCTTTAGCTATAAGCATGCATGTATACAAACCCCACATGCACAATGCAGGCTAAGGCAACTCAAAAATCTGAAACTATACAAAAAAAAAAAAACTTTGAAGGCTAAGCACTTATGAACCCTTCAAAGAAAAAGGAACTAAAAAAATAAATAAATAAAACTGAAATTCAAATCTAAGCTAACAGTACTCTGACCTGGACCACTTCCAGAAAAACAGGCAGAGGGCCAGCAGAGTGACTCAAGTGGTAGAGCATTGCCTAGCAAGCATGAGGCCCTGAGTTCAAACCCTAGTGCTATCTCCCCAAAAAAAAAAAAAAAAAAAAATCCAGAAAAATGGATGGAATAATTTCCCTAAAATATTTCAATTTATATACCTCCATTCAACCACCTATCACAATGTAACTGTTCACAACTCTTTCTTCAGTATGGGACTAAGTTCTAGAAGAGTAACTAGTGCAATTGCTTTAGGCAGGCAGAATAGGCCCTCAATAAATGCTTTGTGAATGAACATGCAGCAGTACTCTACCTCTGAGTTGTCCTTACAAAACTATTCAATATCAAGACTTTAGGAGAACATGCTGCACACCATGCTGTCACATTTAGAAGGCTGTCAAGCTACTGAAAAATAATTAATAGCAACAAATGGGTGGGGGTGTAAGCATACCATATGAGTCACAAAAATAAATGTAAAAATGTAACTTGAAAGTGGAGAAAATGCCTTTAAATAATTTTAAAGACATTTTAAAGTTTGTGTCCATAGATGGGCACAAAACTTTTCTTAAACTTTCTAACACTGAAATACAAACTGTTTCAAGGAATTAAATTAGTAAGTTAGACCAATTAGTGAATGGAAGGAAGTCCAAGCCCAATTATGTATTCAAACTGTGGGTCCAATGTCTTTCTCTTCAGGACTGAAGAAAATACAAAACAAACCTCTTGACTTCTGAGAAGGACTAAAATCACTTATTTTCCCCACAAGTATGTATCCAAAAGTAATTACTTTCTGCTCCTATTCAACAAAATCAACACCATCTCTCCCCTTTCTTATAAAATGCTACAGAGTATGAGTAAAGTACTTTAATCTCAGGCTTAGAAGACTCTCAGGTTATGGTAAAATTTCAATGCAACAAAAGCATTTTTATAAATATATTCTCATCCCCCATGGTGTTCCTACACTAATTTAGCTCCCTGCCAATTATTAAAAATGAAGGAAATCATAACATTCTCAGAATAGAAATTGAAAACTACTTTTCAAAAACAATTTGTTACTGTTCATGGATTTCAAAATTCAGAGTACATATAACCAGGAAAGTGGTTTTTTGTAAACACCTGAATTTAAACTCAAATTACTGTTTAATTGTATGCAATTTTTCCTTCATATTATATATATATAATACTAATCAGTCTCCAAATGTCTAAAAAAGTAAATAAATAACCATGTTTATTTAAAAAGCTTGCCTAATAATCAAGAGGTTCTAATACATGGAAAAAAAAAAAGTGGCTTCCAGTTAGCTCTACCCATGAATGACAGACAGGTTGGCAGAGACAAGCTGTTCTGAAAAGATTAGGAACTTCTAGTGATCTCAAATGAGGTAAACAGAAGGTACAAACAGTAGATTTTGTAGATGCTCCAATAATAAAACTACTTCAACATCAAAAATTCAGAGCCTAAACTGAGGCCAATAGGAGAAGGGGACCAGGAACTAGAGAAAAGGTTAGTTCAAGAAGAATTAACTTAGAAGGTAACACACATGCACAGGAAATCAATGCCCAGTCAACTCCCTGTATAGCTATCCTTATCTCAACTAGCAAAAACCTTGTTCCTTCCTATTATTGCTTATGTTCTCTCTTCAACAAAATTAGAGATAAGGGCAAAATAGTTTCTGCCGGGTAGCGAGGGGGTGGGGGGGAGAGGGAGGGAGGAGGGGGGTAAAGGAGGGGGTGGGGGAAGGGGGGAGAAACGACCCAAACGTTGCATGCACATATGAATAAAATAAAAAATTTTAAAAAAATCCAGAGCCTACAGCTGTGTAAACTACAAAGCCATCTAAATGCACACCCGTCTAAAAGAGAAAGGAGAAGCAGGAAGAACACAAGGCCCACATTCGTATCAGCACAAGAAAATGCCCTGGTATTGAGCTTTTCAAGACCTTAAAATTTAATAAGGTTCTGGGAATTAATTAAGACATGCAAGTTGCAAAACACTGAAACTATATTAAAATACAACTGACATAAAATTTTAACTCCAGTAAAGTTGGAAGACACATAGCAGAAAATAACAGAGTTGACTTGTGGAAAGAGTCTAGGGACTTATATATTTTAACTATAAGTACAATAACCTTAAGTCCTGATAACATCCCTTGTAAGACAAGTACTATTATGATTAGCTCCATTTTAAAGATGAAGAACTGAGGCACAGAAAGATTAACTCTCCCAATGTAATAAGCTAGTAAGAAGCAGAGCCAGGATTTTTAACTTCAGTCAAACTTCATTTTTACAGTAAGGGTTACACGATGGTCACTTTTTTTTTTTTTTGACCTGATACTTTTTTTTTTTTTTTTACTCCCAAACACTAGGATAGTATCATGCAACAAGAAAGGCATAGGCTTTGGGATCAAACAGACCCAAATACAGCCCTAAATAAAGTCTACACCTCAGTTTCAGCATCTATAAAATGAAGATCCGTAAGTTACTAAGAAAGTAAAAGAAAGTGCCAAGTATAGCATACAAGTCAAGGGTTAATATGAAGTCTACAGACACCTGGAGGTCCACTGATGGGTTCACAGTCCAGGAGTCTTGTAAATTTAATTAACAAATTATATGTGTGCCTCTATTTGTTAAAGGATTGTCCTTGGCTTTCCACAAACCCTCAAGGGGTACAAGTGATTCCCTCTCCAAAAGGTTAAGAACTACTTAGAATACATAGCAGGAGGGCAAAAAAAACAAATAAAAACAAGGAAGCTCTTTTCTTTACAATTCTTCCCTTTTCCCTTAAGAATGGCAGGAGACTTCACAATAAATGACAATTGTTTCCCACCACTTTCCTGGCTTGGAAAACGGTAACATGCGCAAGCTTACGCCCCAGTTTTTTAGCGATAGCGTAAAGAAGGGCCTCGACTGTTTCATCCCTTTTCTCACGGGCGACTGTGTTCATCCCTTTTCTCACGGAGATGAACATGCGTTATTTACTACCAAACAATCGTCCAGCTAGCTGCACTAAGCACCATGCCGGTAAGAAAAAACAAGCAGGAACCAAAGCTTCACAGCTGAGCGGCAGAGACTTGATGCTCCAGCGTTGGAAAATAAGAAGAAAGTATTTCCCGAAACTACTGAGCAATCCAGAATTCCTACACCCCTGCCCCTCTCCTCCTGTCTGGAACTATGCTGCCGGGGGGTCGGCTGGGCTCCAGTCCTGCAAGCAGGTCCAGCTGGGCTGGAGACACGAAGAGAAACGTTACCCTAGCTGAAGGATGCAGCGCGGCGACGTCCCAGCTCTAGGGTTCTTGGAAGCGGTGGAGTAACTCAGCCGAAAACCTGCCCTCAACCCTCCCCACAAAAGACGCCGGGACCTATCTCTGCCAGGGTTGAGAGCCGGCTCCGGGTTTCTCTGTTCCTCCAGGTGGCTTCCGCTTCCGGTTTATCCCTGACCGGAAGCAGTGTTTGGATGACGCAAAAGTGCCGCGCTGTTGGTGATTCCGGAAGAAACTGGCTTGCGGCCCGAGCATGGTGAGGAAAGTGGGTGGGAGAAGGAGTCTAGTCAGACCACTCTTGGGGCGTACATCTGGGGTCTTAGCGCTTATCCAAAATACCTCTACGTTACCTATGTTTGTTTTCTTTCTGATCTTAGCTCCCAACGGAGCCTGTGGTTGGGAAGTGAGAAGAGGGGAGGGATGTTTGAGGGAAGAGGAAAGGGGAATGTACAGGAGAAAAGATGAGACTTTAAAAGATAACAATATATTGCGAACTTTTTTAACTCTAAAAATTTCTGTTTCAAGGGGAAGCAAAAGAAAGCAAGGAAGTATGCGACCATGAAGCGAATGCTAAGTCTCAGAGATGAGAGGCTGTAAGTGTCCGGAATCAACTGAATTTTTAAGACTACCCAGAGACGTGGGAGTAACAAGGGGATAAGTAGTGAAAGTATTTGTTTTGATTTTGGGTTGGGTTTTATTCTTTTTTGGTTTGGTTTGGGTGTTTGTTTTTGGTGGAACTAGGGTTTGAACTCGACTTAACGCTTGCAAACCAGGCACTCTACCACTTGAGCCACACCTCCAGTGTATTTTGCTCCTGTTATTTTGGAGATGGGGGAGGGGCATTTCGAGAACTATTTGCCCCGACTGGCCTTGAACCACGATCCTCCTGACTTCAACCAAGTAGCTAGGATTACAGGTATGAGCCACAGATGACCTGCCAGGTTTTTTGGGTTTTTTGTTTTGTTTTTTTTTTTTTTAGTGATATTATTATTGTGTCTTAGATTTATATTGCATGCGATAAAAAGTCAAGTGTTTAGCAGTCACTTAGCTGCTAAGCAATTACTCTGGGAAAGACGATGAGAATTAAACTTTTTTTTTTGCTGTACTGGAGCTTGAACTCAAGGCCTTCACCTTAAGCCACTGGATCAGCCCTTTTTTTGTGGTGGTTTTTTTTTAAGATGAGTCTCGTGAGCTATTTGCTCTGGTTGGCTTCCAAACGCGATCCTCCTGATCTCTGCCTCCTGAGTAGCTAGGATTACAGGCCTGAGCCACCGATGCCCAGCTAAACATTTAAGTTTTCACTTTGTTCCACTGTTAGATGCTTTATATGCTTTATCATATCATAGTTAAGCCTCATAACAGGTTAAGTAGATAAGAGTATCATTATGTTCTTATTACACAACTGGGTTCCTCAGGAAAAAATGTTTACATTGTTGAAAGACAGTGGGGTCAGACACCATGCTTGTCTTCTTTCTACAGTGCCTGACACGCAAATAATTTTGAAAGAGAGATTGAGAATCTCCCAGATGCTACCTTTTATAAATCAAGAACTGAGATCACTGTAGAAGGAAGAAGACTGATATTCCCTGTTGGAAAGAGGGTGGGCTGGAGGTGTGACTCAAGGGATAGCGAAGCCCTGAATTGAAAACCCCAGTCCCTTGCACCCCAACCCAAGAACCAGTGCTTCTGGTAGCATTGGTTTAAACAGAGGTGCACACAGCAAGTGGACACTGTCACCTTTGGGAGCTGTGGCTGTGCCCCTCAAAGTGAATGTGGAGGTTCCACATCCTGCAGAAGAATAAAAAGAGAAAAGAAGTCTCACTAATTAAAAAAACAAAGGAACTAAACAGTTTCCCTGCTTTAGTGAACACTGGGTAAAGTTATTAAATAAGGACCAATCTTCATTATGTTTAAGAGTTTCAGAACAAGAAATTGAGCATGATAGCCTTCAGAATTATTCTCAGCCTTTGAAGTGGATTTTTATTTATGTACTTTTTAGGAATTACGCCCAATTGATAATATTTTCTTTCTCAATAAGGATTAAATTTTGTATAGGTGTTGTTTTTAGCCCTTTATAAGAAACATATGAAGGAACCCTTTCCCCTGTACTGTTAAAGGATCTACATCTTTAGAAGATAAATGTCTCTTCACCCACTTCTTGGAAGTAGATTTTAATCTTCGTTATAAGAGCTTCTGATTAAGAAAAAAGTTACAGTATAATCAACATCTGTCCATTAACACTTTTTGTATCATTGAATTAATTTTGGTACTTCCAGGCTATTTCCTGCTACATTTATTTGCCACGAAAGTATATGTGAATATTAACATAAAGTCACATTCACTTTGAGAGGCACAGCCACAGCTCCCAAGGGCAACAGTGTCCACTTGCTGCATGGAATTTTTAATTACTCACATTTCTCTTTCCGTCAGTGCGCAGTAGAGCCCCTGCCTTGCAAGTGTGAAGCTGAGTTCAAACCCCAGTGTTACCAAAAAATTTGAAAAGAAGTCTAAATCCAAAATTATTTACTTTATCTTTTATGGTAATTTTATTTGCTCTTAGTAATACATTTTGGGCCAGAGGTGTGGCTCAAATGGTAGAGTACCTACCTAGCAAAAGCGAGTCCCAGTGTTCAAACCCAATACCACCACCAAAAATGAAAGTCACAAAGTAGGATTTCCTTTGTTGATTTAAAAAAAAAAATGGAACTTTTTAATGAGATTTTAACTACTGTGGTTTCTTCTTCCCTGGATTTAATTGACTCTTTTTTTTTTTTTTTCAGTAAAGAAAAGGATAGATTAAAGCCTAAAAAGAAAGAAAAGAAAGATCCCAGTGCACTGAAGGAAAGAGAAGTGTGAGTAATCAAAACTTCCAAGTTTTCACTCTGGCGGAGTGGCTCAGGCAATAAGAGCACCAGCCTAGCAAGCATGAGGCCATGAGTTCAAACCCCAGTGCTGCCAAAAAAAAAAAAATCTCAAATTTTCCATTAAAACCAGAACAGGCATTGTAAAACAATGGACCTCTTAGGAATCTAGGCTTTCCCTGAGCTAATTAGCTCAGTCATTAGTTAGTCTGAGCAGTTATACAAATGAAAGTGGTATTGATGACCATGTGCTTATTCTAATACTTTGAAAGTTTTTTATTTCATGGAGCAGTAAAATTTCCCTTAAAATCTAGGAATATAACCTAGAATTATCAATTTTTTTCCTTTGCCAAGAATCTAAAATAATTTTGCTTAACAAACCAATATTTCATAAAAGAGAAACTGTATCACTAAAAAAATAATGTCATATTTTCAGAATGAAAGTCACTCCTTTTAAGTAAATGCATTTAATTTTATAAATACCTCACTATATTTTCCTTATTTTTCTCGTGTGTCTTAGATTGGTAATGGCAATATTATCACAGGTGGATACTGGTTCATGGATTAGCATTTAGACATCTTGAGGTTTTAGCTGAGAAACAGGTCCTGCTATAGGATTATGTAGTATGTAATCCTAACTCTGGACAAACTGTTCTCCAAATCACATTCCATACAGTCATTTTAGGATCCTGTGAGAATGGCTAACTTTCTGTACTATCACTCTAGTCATAACTGTATTCTACCTCTTTGTGCTAATAGAGGAAGAACTGGGTTGAATAATTGTGTTTTTTTGTTTTTTTTTTTAATTGTGGCAGGGCATGAGATATGCTATTAAGCATATGCTGTTACTTTTACTTTCTTCCTTGCCTTCCTTTTTTAAGATTTAGTTTTAGTGAACAAGGATTAATCTACAGTGAACTGTCTCAAGCAGAGACTTGTTTTTATTGGAATCAAAATATTAACATAGACTTTACTCTGTGTTCTTTTTCTTTTCCCTTCAGCCCCCAACATCCTTCCTGCTTATTCTTCCAATATAATACACAGCTGGGCCCACCTTACCACATCCTGGTTGATACCAACTTTATCAACTTTTCCATTAAAGCCAAACTGGACTTAGTACAGTCAATGATGGACTGTTTGTATGCCAAGTGTGAGTATCATACTTTCATGTTTCTGCAGCATTTGTACAGAATTATCATATTTATCCAAATACATGAAAAGAGTGAGGTGGGATTGTTGTTAAATGAGTTGATGGCCATTTAATTTGCAACCATATCGATGATTTTCAACTAATTGAAATATAATATATACTTGTCAGGACTAATAAAACTTTTACAATTCATAAAACACTTAGTACGTTGACTATCATTATGGACATCAGTTTTGAACATAGGAGTATTTTCTGTTTTAGAATCCAGGATTTTAAAATTCTGCATGAATGAAAATCTATGATTTTGAGATAGGTAGATGGATAGATTCCTTTTTTTTTTTATTTTATTTTATTATTATTCATATGTGCATACAAGGCTTGGGTCGTTTCTCCCCCCGATAGATTCCTTAATGTTAAGGAGAATACAGTATCCATTTCACTCCACTATGGAAAAGCTAATAAGACATTTCGTCATTTACAATCACAGAGTCAGAAGTTGAATAATCGTTGATTCCTAAATTTATTCAGTTAATATTTATTTGTAATACAAAGGATCTGATGTAATTTATCTATAACTAGATACGTAACTTACCAGTAATAGAGTTTCGTGTGTATTTGGATATCCCTTTCTTCAGAGGGTTTCCTTCGCTACCGTAAGTAGGGAAAAGAAAATTTAGATCATATATTAGGAAATAACTTCCTGATAGCGAGTTCTGTTAGTTTTTGGTGGTACTAGGGACTTAAATCTAGGACTCACATTTGAGATAGAAGTGTTCTATCACTTGAGCTATGCCCCCAGCTTGTACCTCTTTTTTTTTTTTTTAAGATACAAGATACCTAATTTTATTGAGCTTCACAGATACCATGCTTTTTTACATGATAATATAGAGCTAGAGGAATGGTTCAAGTGGTAGAGTATCTGCCTTGCAAGCATAAGGCCCTAAGTTTAAATCCTAGTACTGCCCAAAAGAAAGTTTATAGTAGTGCTGCTGTGAGCAAGGTGTTGATGCCATTTTTCCAACAGCATGAGCTTGCTTCATGTCTCCAGATCATATCATGGTAATTCTTGCAATAGTTCCAACTTTGTCATTATTGTTAAACCTTTTATATTCATCAATGATTTGTGGGGGTGAGGGCAGTTACGGGGTTTGAACTCAGGGCCTCACACTTGGTAGGCAGGCACTCTCCCACTTGAGACATTCTGCCAGCCCTTTTTTCTGTCAGGTATTTCCAGTATAGGGTCCACAAACCATTTGCCTGGTTTGGCTCTGAACTGTGATTCTCCTAATCTCTGCCCCCTAAGTAGCTAGGATTACAGATGTGACCACTGGCGTCCAGCCCTTAGCTTCTTTAGTAGAGTTACTAATTTTTTGTGCTTTTGTTTTCCTTGTCTTTCCTGGCAGGTATCCCTTGTATAACTGATTGCGTAATGGCTGAAATTGAGAAGTTGGGGCAAAAGTACCGAGTGGCTCTAAGGTAGGAAAGGGCTTATTGAGGTTTATTCTAGGTTGGTGTTCTGACAATCCATTTGGTCCTCTTTCATCTCTTTGCTATCCAAAGATTTATTGGCCACTTAGTTTAAATAAAGATCAAATGAACTATTTATGATTTAAAAAGCAGATATTTGGAAGTCCAAAAAATTGTAAGCTGAAGTTCTTTGAACTAAGTTATGTAGCCATATTAGTCTTGTGGGCCTCCTTTTAAGTTCCTCTAGGTTTTCAATTAGATGCTGTCTGTTAGTTTGTTATCTAGACATTTGTTTTAGAATGTCACACTTGGAAATTTTAAATTTACTCCAGAAGTTTAGAGTAGGTACTTGCAAAGATTATCTATGGACCTCTGTGAGTTCTAGCAACCTTTGAGGGAGATCACAAAACTATTTTCATAATAACACTGAGATACTGCCTTCGTCATTGTGTTGCCATTTGCACTGTTGGCAAAATTAAGTGATGCTGAATCAAAGCAATGGGCTCACACAAAGCTGGTAGTCATTGTATTCTTCACTGCCATCACTTGCAGTTTTTGTTGTTGTTTGTTTTAAGCCATAGTCACTTAAGAATGTCCTTAATGAGTGCTGGAGGTATGGCTTAAGTGGTAGAGTGTTTGCCTAGCAAGTGTAAGGCCCTGCATTCAGGCTCCCATACTGGAGAGAGAAAAAAACTAAAAAGAACTTCTTTGATGAAACAGTAAAATTTAGCTTTATTAATTGTCCACCCTCACCCAGCTGCCAGTGGCTCATACCTGTAATCCTAGCTACTTGGGAGGATCTCAGTTGGAGGCCAGCCCGAAAATTATATATTTTGTGAGATCCCATCTCCAAAATAACCAGAGCAAAAAGAGCTGGAGGTGTTGCTCAGGTAGTAGAGTGCCTGCTTTGCAAGCGTGAAGCCCTGAGTTCAAACCCCAGTCCCACTGAAAAAAAAAAATTCTTGACCTAAGTACATACATATCAGTGTTCTTTGTGATGAAGTGTGAAGTATGCATAAAGCACTTCAGCTGCTTTCCAAAGGACAGAGGTTGTCTCAGTGAAAAGCATTTGTGTGCACATTTGAGTTGTGCACTGAACCAGCTGTTTTTTCTCATGGAATATCATTTTTATGTGAAAGAACAACTAACAAACACTGGTTATTCAGACTTTTGGTATTTGGCAGATATTTTCTCAAAAATTAGCAGCAGTGGTCGGGTGCCAGTAACTCACATCTGTAATCCTAGCTACTTAATGAGGCTAAGATCAGGAGGATTGTGGTTCGAGGTCAGAGAGGGCAAGTAGTTTCTCAAGACTCCATCTCCAGCATAACCAGAGTAAAATGGACTGGAAGTGTGGCTCAAGTGGTAGAGTGCCTGCTTTGTGAGCACAAAGCTCTGCGTTCAATCCCAGTCCCACCAAAAAAAGAAAAAACAAAAAAACAAAAAAAACAACAGCAGTGAACACATCACTCTAAGGAAGACACCTTTCCATATTTGTTCTCAATGATAATATTCAAACTTTGAAGTAAAAATTAAGAGTTTTAGAAAAATCTGAGCTTATCACATTCTTAGTACTAAAGACCTTTGTGTTGACACCAGGGGAGATAATTAATTTGATTTTTTTTTCAATAATATAATGAATATGGTCAATATTTAGAAAATGCACATCACTTTGAAGAGCAACCTGGCAATATCAAAGATCAAAGTTTTCCATACTCTTCAACACTGTCTTTCAATTTGGAGATCACAGTCTATAGGTTATAAAATCAGTTTAGTGGGTCATAACCAATATTTTTTAAAAATGTAATAGAATGTAAAATAAGAACATGCCTTGCATCGAGGAAAGCGTGAGTACTGTTTTATAACACATTTTTTCCACTTTTATATATATATGTATGTATGCATACAAACTGCTAGTAAAGTGCATTTTGTGCTGTGGTTTCTGGTAAAATAGTCACTGGTAGTAGAAACTCACAAAAATACAGTAGAGTCACATACTAGAATTTTCCTGTGTAGTAACAAAACATTGCAGGTAGCCAAACATCCATTAAGAAGAGAATAGAAACCATGTATGGTGGTGCACGTCTATAATTCCAGCACTTGGAAGCAGAAGGATCTAAAGTTTTAGGCCAGGCTGGTTATCAAAGTGAGACCCTGTCTCTGAATGAATGATTGAATGAATGAATGAGAGAATGAATAAATAAATTTGGAATGTTCATTAATAAAATATTATACAAGAGCAAAAAATGATTTAAGTAGAGTTGTGTCAATATGGATAAATCTCAAAAGCAAATTAAAAAAGCAAGAGCATATATGGAACATTCCATTTATCTAAGGTAAACCAATACTACATTGTTGATGTAGGTATGTACATACGAAATTCTACATACACAGTAAAATGTGTATGGGAGTGATAAATACCAAATTCAGGATAATAGTTATTGTGGAGAGGGCAAAGAGCTTAGGACTGGAGAGGGGGCTTTATTTTTATTGGTAATGTCTCATTTCTTTAATGAAACATATAAAGGATAAGGGTGGAGAAAATAGAGTCATTAAGTTTGCTGTGAAGAGAAACAGAAATGTGATGTTAGCTGAAAGTAAAAAGGTTTTGTTTTTGTTTTCCTTTTTCTAAGATGGAGAATATACTGGAGCATGTTGGTTTGTTTCTGGGGAAGAGACAGTGGAGAGGAGGAGAGATTCTAGAAGTAAAAGGGATACCAAAAGAGCCAAAATCCTAGACTATTAGCTACCAGTTGCTCAGCTACAGCCTGTCTTCATTTTTGTGTGTCCTCTTCACCCACCCCTGCCTAGTTCTAGGAAAGAGTCATGACACATAGCCCTCGAAAATCTTTACTGACTCTGACTCTGTCACCTTGGTCATGAAGCTCACACTCCTAGCCTGGTATTAAAGGCAATTTCTAGCCCTATTTCGCCGTTCTCTCGGTGAATCCTCCTCCACCAGAAGATAGGCTCACTCTTCCCTGAACACCAGTAGCTGTTTTACAGATGGCTGGTGCCCTGTGTGGATCACGCCCTCCTTCACTTTGCCTGATGAATTTTTTTTCATTTTATTTCAGCTCCATGTCTTTTTTTTTTTTTTTTTTTTTTAATTCATGCAACCTACACTGATCTTGCACTGAGCCATTGCAACAGGGAGTATTTCTATCAAAGAGACACATTTATATTTTTGTAATTAAATCATTCATAGTTCATTGGTCTACTTTGTTTATTCAGTAGTTCAGTATAGGTCCTTCCACATTCATATATACAGTTTCACCTCATTTTTAAAAAATAGGATACGGGACTGAAAGTGTAGCTAAAGTAGTAGAGAACTGGTTTCACAGGTGCAAAGCCCTGAGTTCAAACCCCCAGTCCCACTTTAAAAAAAAGGCTAAAAATAGGACAATGGTACCAAAATACATTTAACCTTTACCTTGTTGTTGGATATTTAGATTATTTCCAGTGGTTTTTTTTTTTTTTTTTTTTTTTTTTTGACTATTATAAACTGTGCTTCAGTAACCATCTTTGTGCCTATCTTCTAGTTCATGTGTGTAAGACAACTTCCCAAAAGTGAAATAGTTGGGTCAAGGCTGATTTGATTTTGAATCCTGGCTTTTCCCAGACGTGTAGTTTTGAGCAAATTAACTTAACTTCTGAACCTGCTTCCTCTTCTGTAAAATGGTAATATAATAACTCAGAGTTTGGAGCTGAATAAGTGACCCCAATTACAGCAACTGTCAGTAAGCCTTTGATTTCCTGTAAGCTGTCTTTCCAATTAGAGGATAAGAAAATCTTCACATAGATCATGTTACCCATTTCCTTGACTGTTTTCTTTAATCTACTCTTAAAACCCTGCAGGATTGCCAAGGATCCACGATTTGAACGATTACCATGCACACATAAAGGAACCTATGCAGATGACTGCTTAGTACAAAGAGTAACTCAGGTATGATCAGTTTTTAAATATTTACTTTGTGCTTTTAAAGAGTGTGGGGGGCAAGCTATTAACTCCTGAATGTTCATGGTCAGCAAAGTATCTAGAATTATAAATGGTAAAAAATTATTAGCAGCCCTTCATAAGAAACATAGGTATCCTCATTTACTTGAAAGGGTGAATTGAAAATTTATACTCTAACCATAGTGGGAAGACCACAAGCTTGGGAAGCAAACATGGTTTCAAATCTCAGCACTTGCAGTGACTGAATATGTGATTTGGGAAACTTACTTATTCTTTATCATACCAACCTCGGTGAAGTGATTTAAGTGAACTAATACAGATATAATAGTATATCAGATTTCACCTCCCTGGGAATCTAAAATAAGGTCCTTGTCCTCCACAGGCAGGAATTTTGTCCTCCTCCACCGTGCCTAGCTCAAGTGTTGATCAGGACACTCTCCCAGGGTGCTATCTCACACATACCTTGTAACAAGTACATTTTGAATTCTTTTTTTAACCTTCTTATCAAATACTACAAGAACTTCTGCTACTGATTGCTCTTGTAAGAGCCTTTCTTAGGTTGAAAGTGCAGCTTAGTGATTGAATGCTTGCCTTGCATGTGCCAGGCCCTGAATTTGATCCCCAGCACTGCCAAAGAAAAAAAGAAAAAAAAGAGCTTCTCTCTTGCCAAGAATGATCTTCTTCATCTAGTAACTGCTCTGACCTTTAGCCACTTATCCCATGAGTGGGACCAGCATTTTCCTTAATTTCCCGCAGCAGAGCTGCCACCATGCTGCAATTTTTTTTTAATAAAACTCAATGGAGATTTAGATTTATTGGAAGTAAAGTACAACACAAAATAACTTCCAGCTGACAGCGAAAAGTCGCAGCTTTCAGAGCTTCTAAGCTCTGGGTCCTGGAGATCCTCTTCTGAATTCCTAGCCCAGAGATATACCCCACCTCCACCACTGAAAGGCCACAGCACACCTAAGGGAAAGGAGAGAGCTGTGCCCTCCACTCTGTCCATCAGAGTGTTTTCCTAAAACTAAGAATTTGTTTGCCTTAAATGTGAAAGTTCCTTCCATTTAAGAGGCAGAAAACAGTTTGCAGTTTATAAACAGTTTTTTACCTTCAAGATTCTTAGAACAACATTCAGTCCAGGAAACTTGTAATTTTATTTTATTTTTATTTTGTAGCTACTCAACAAATTCTTATGGCCTTTCCTGTGCTAGTTACTATGAAAATGAATGAATATCAGACTAGTCAGTGATTGTGCCATTAAGTGTACTCAGAGAGCTCTATGTGAACATCAGTGAGTGTCTCTTTTCAGCACAAGTGTTACATTGTGGCCACAGTTGACCGTGACCTTAAACGAAGAATCCGGAAGATCCCTGGAGTTCCAATCATGTACGTTTCTAACCACAGGTAAGAAATTGCTCTTGGGAAAGTGATTAAAAGTATATAGTTTATAATTACAAATGAGATCAGGTTATAAGGCTATAGAAGGGTTTCAAAGAAATTACTATATCAGATGTTTACATGGTTAGATTTGAACAAATGAGACAAAGTAGCAAGAACATGGGCAGAAGATAAAGGTGGGATTTAGGAATGAACCAGATTAATTTCATTAAATTACTACAATAAGATTACTAGAAGAGATAGATGTATTGCACAGGACTGGGGGTGTGGCTGAAGTGGTAGAGTGCCTTCCTAGAAAGTGAGAGGCCTTGTGTTCAACCCTCAGTACCTCAAAAAGAAAAAAAAAAAAAGCAAAAGCTGTTCTTTATCCTCAGATGTTTTCATGTCATTCCTCAACTACTATTGTCCAGCTTTTCAGCTGAAGGAGAGCACAGTGTGGTGAGAATATGGGCAAAAGGACTTGGATTTCCCTGGACTGGGATCCTGGCTCCCCCATTTGCTGACTTTGTGAATTTGAAGAGTAAAGATAATGTCTCAGATGTTTTCATGTCATTCCTCAACTACTATTGTCCCAGCTTTCAGCTGAAGGAGAGCACAGTGTGGTGAGAATATGGGCAAAAGGACTTGGATTTCCCTGGACTGGGATCCTGGCTCCCCCATTTGCTGACTTTGTGAATTTGAAGAGTAAAGATAATGTAGTCAGCATTGTGCTGCAAGTCACTCATTATGAAGTTCCTTGTAAGATACTCTTAAAGGGTGCATAGTGGAGGTGAGAAGTATTGCAGTCAGTAAAGGATGGGTTTTTGATCGGTTCTTTATCCACCTTTCTTACCAGCATTGATTTTCTATTCTGATCAGATACAACATTGAGCGGATGCCAGATGATTATGGAGCCCCTCGGTTCTAATTCTTACAAGATAAAGTTCTGCTGCCTTCCTTGGACCAACGTTCTCTGTTGCCAGTTCATTAAATATGCTATAGCGTGAATTATTCTGTTCACATATTTGAAGGTATTATGAGCTGGAAGTGGTCAAATACACTTATACTTTATGATGCTTTTTTTAATAGATATTTTGTCTCCTTTAAAAGTTTGCTGCATCCTTTTTATAAATCAGATACTCCAATAGTTGTTCACATAATTTGGTTTTCTCAACAAACATTAGATTTGTAGTAGGTACTTTGTAAGATACGATCCTACTCAAGACATTCATATTACAGTGGAAGAGAAAAATACGTAAATGAATAAATATTATAAAACAGTAGTGCTAGGGTAAAAGTATCGGGCAATTTGTGGACTCAAAAGACTGATTTCTTTCTCCTTGGCTGGGATGACGCAAGAGGAAAAGCTAGGGGTGGTGATGTTTGAATTAATCTTAAGGCAAAGAAGATGAAGCACAGAAAGCAGTATGAATAGAAGCATGGAGACATGAATGTTACATGGCATGAATGTGCTTGACCTGTTAAGATAACTGCCAGGAAATTTTCATGACTAAAACATAGAAAATCATGGGGGAATGAGGTATATGCCAATGCCTGAGAACTCAGAGGTGGGAGAGGGGTCATATGGCGTGCAAAAGGGTTTTGACTTACTCCTGAGGTCTTAGGGTATTATTAAAATCTTAATCAGGGTTGGGCTGAGGGTGTAGCTCAGTGGTAGAGCACTTGCCTAGCAATGCACTGAGCTCTAGTTTCCATCCCTAGCACTACAAGAAAACAAATGTTTTTGTTTGGAGATAGAGGGGTTTGAACTCAAGGACTTTGTGCTTGCTAGGCAGGTGCTCTACTGCTTTAGCTATACCTTTAGCTCCAAAACAAATACTTTAAGCAGGGTGGGCAACATGATCAGAGAATACTTTTTAAATGTAAGACAGTGCAAGAATAGACATCATCGGACACAGTAGAAAGTCCATAAGTAAAGTGTATTTATGGGAATATGGTATATTATTAGGGTGATATTTCAAATCTATGGAAAAAGAAAATTGTATTAGAAGGCTAAATAGTGTGGAGTCATTCTGTCAGGATCAGAATACTGATTCTATTCTTGTATGAACTGGGCAAACAATACAACCATTTAAAACCTTCCTTATTTCCACTTTTTAAAAAAAAAATTTTTTTTAAGCAAGTGCTAGGCTCTAAGTTCACCAGTATCAAACACATACACACACATGTTTTTGGTTTGGGATTTTTTTTTTTTTTTTTCAGTGCTGGGAATTGAACTCCACCTCACTCTTGCTAGACATTCACCCTACTATTTGAGCCATTCTACCAGCCCTAGTTTTTTGTTTTGTTTTTTGATCCATAATATAAGCCTGATAGCTAGACATATGACACATGCTTGTAATCCCAGCACTCAAGAAGTAAAGGCAGGAGGATCACAAGTTTGAGCTCAACCTAAGCTGCGTAGTGAGTTTAAGGTCAGTCTGTCTTAAACAAGCTGGTAAGGTGAGATTCAAATGAACAGTATGTGAATCATGCTAGTGGTTATTATATTATTATAATGCAAGGTGGCTTTCCATTCCAAAAAAATACAAGATTCCTCCTTGACATGATCATAAGGCTATATTTCAAGTGGCTCAGAGATCTAAACTTTTTTTAAAGTTAGGAAAAAAGTTGGGCACTCTGGAGGCAAGAGGATGGACAGTTTGAGGCCAGAGTGGGCTACATAAGGAGACCCTGTCTCAGGAAGACAAAAAATACATAAGTTTGGATATATTAAAGTTACAGATTTCTGTGCAAGATATTTCCCTTCCCCACATAACAAGTGACTAATCAGAAGATTGTCCACCTCACCCGTTAGAATAGCCATTAGCAACACCACCACCAACAGGTGTTGTCGAGGATGCAGGGAAAAAGGAACCCTCTTACACTGTTGGTGGGAATGTAAACTAGTACAACCATTCTGGAAAAAAATTTGGAGGCTACTTAAAAAACTAAACATTGATCTACCATATGATCCAGCAATACCACCCTTGGGGATATACCCAAAAGACTGTGACACAGGTTACTCCAGAGGCACCTGCACATCCATGTTTATTGCGGCACTATTCACAATAGCCAAGTTATGGAAACAGCCAAGATGCCCCACTACTGACAAATGGATCAAGAAAATGTGGTATCTATACACAATGGAATTTTATGCAGCCATGAAGAAGAAAGAAATGTTATCATTTGCTGGTAAATGGATGGAATTGGAGAACATCATGCTGAGTGAGGTTAGCCTGGCCCAAAAGACCAAAAATTGTGCGTTCTCCCTCATTTCTGCTGGGTATTGGGGGGTGGGGGGAGGGAGTGGGTGGTAAGGGAGAGGGTGGGGGCAGGGGGGAGAAATGACCCAAGCATTGTATGCACATATGAATAATAAAACAATATAAAAAATATTTTTAAAAAGACAGTAAATAAAAGACATTCAGAAGCTAGAGGAGTGGGTTAAGTGGTAGGGCACTAGAAGGCCCTGAATTCAAACCCCAGGACCATAAATAAAACAACAAAAAAACCCACAAAAAAAAAAAAAAACAGACATTCAGAATGATGTGAAGAATTATGAGTGAATAATATATGGACCATGGCAAATGATCACCAACAGCTGCTAATATCAAAGATGGAATCAAACTTCGCGTATCTCCTGAAAGCCCTGAATTCAAACCCAGGACCATAAATAAAAACAACAAAAAAAACCCACCCAAAAAAAAAAAAAAAAAAACACATTCAGAATGATGTGAAGAATTATGAGTGAATAATTAATATGGACCTGGCAATGATCACCAACAGCTGCTAATATCAAAGATGGAATCAAACTTCCGTATCTCCTGAAGCAAACATCATCTATAACATTCCTGAACACACAAAAAAGGAAAAAATGTGCATCACAGAAAACGAACCTAGCAAGCCTCTAAATTAAGACCAATTATCAAGAAACCCAAAAAACAGAGGGACATGTTTACCACCATTACAGGAATATAGTAAATTCAGACTCTATGAAAACTCTTGTTTGGGGGAGGGGAGAGATGACCCAAACAATGTATGCACATGTGAATAAATGAATAATTTTTAAAAAAAGATTGTTCAACATAGACACAAGAAGTGTATCAGAAAATGAGATGCTGATGGCTCATGTCTATAATCTTAGCTACTCAGAAGGCAGAGATCAGGAGGATCAAGGTTAGAAGCCAGCCTGGGGAAATAGTACAAGAGATCTCCATCTCAAAAAATACCCAACACAAAAAAGTGCGATGAAGTGGCTCAAGTGGACAGCACTTGTATAACAAGCGTAAAGCCCTTAGTTTAAACCCCAGTACCACCAAAAAAAAAAAAGTGGGTTCTTAAATCATGTTGACAAAAAGATACCACTTTAGACAATATTTTGGCAGGATCCGTTAGAATAAAAATTGCACCTATCCTGTGGGCCCAGATCTGTTTTTTTTTTTATTATTTATAAAATATACAAGTGATTTATTCTAAAATACCTCAGCATAGACATGTGTAAAGAAATATTCACAGGGGAGAGAAATGACCCAAACATTATATGCACATATGAATAAAAGAAAAAATTAATAAAAGAAACATTCACATGTGTATGAAGAAGTGTAGACCAAGATACCTGCTGCACTGTGGTTTATAATAGAGAAAAATGAAAAACAATCTAAATGTCCATCCAAATTATCTTACTATGGCATGTCATAGTCATTTAAGAAGAATAAGGTCAGGCTGGCAGAATGGCTCAAGTGGTAGAGCACCTGCCTTGCAAGCATGAGGTCCCAAGTTTAATCCCCAGTACTGCCAAAAAAGAAGCATACACAAAAGAGTGAGGTAAATCTAAAAATAGAGATGGATGTTGTGTTGCATTCCCAAGAGGATGACGATTTTGAGGCCAACCTGGGCTACATAGCAAAACCCTGTCTCGCCGGTCGTGGTGGCATGTGCCGGTAATCAACGAGGCGAAGAGGATGAGGCCAGCCTGGGCTACACTTAAAAAAAAACAAAACAGAAAAAAAAACTGTCTCAAAAAACAAAAATGGGCAAAGAACTTCCATAACCCTTGGTCCAAAGAAGGGATTCAAATGACCAAAAAGCACATTAATAGGTGCTCAATACCATTAGTCATTAGGGAAATGCAAACTAAAATCATAATGAAGCCAGGCACATGTGATGGCTCGTGCTTGTAACCCTGGCTACTTGGGAGGCTGAGATCTGGAGGATCATGGTTTGAGGCCAGCCCAGGCAAAAAGTTGAGGAGACTGTCTCAACCATTAGCTGCACCTGGTTGTATGCTGTTGTCATCCCAAGCCAAACAGATGCTGAGATTGGGAGGATCCTGGTTCCAGGCCAGGCTGGGGAAAAGAGTTTGTAAGACCCCAGCTCAATGGAGAAAAGCTGGGCCTGATGAGGCACATCTTTCAACTTAACAACAGCAGGAAGCATAAATAGGATTGTGGTCCAGGCCAGCCTGGGCAAAATTCGAGACCACATCTCCAAAATAGCCAGGGCAAAAGAAGAAAAAAAAAAAGAACTGGAGGTGTGGCTCAAGTGGTAGAGCACTTACTTTAAGATGGTCCTGTAAAAAATTGACAAATGTTGGAAAGAATTGTAGAAACTGGAACCAATGCACTGTTTAAGTCAGTACTTTTTTTTTTTTTTTTTTGGCAGCACTGGGGTTTGAACTCAAGATCTCGTGCTTGCTAGGCAGGTGCTCTTAATGCTTGAGTCACTCCATCATCCTGCACTGTTAATAAAAGTGTAAATGCTACAACTGAGGCAAGGATAGAGCTGAGAAAATGAGGTATGGAAAACAGTGGCCAGGAATGCACAGATAAGCATTGTACTAACGAATAGCTTGATTAAAAGCACACAAATATGGTTTTCTTTGCTTTAAACATCACAAACTGCAACATTTAGAAAAAAATTTTTTAAAAAAGATTAAAAATAATAGTTCCCTGCCTCTTAACCTGCTTCCACAAATAATTAGTGGACTTAGGGAACTAGCAAGGATACCTCAAAGACACTTATCTTGGGGGAGGGGGGAAAGACTTCAGAAAGTGACTTCTTTGAGCACACTAAAAAAAAGTGTTTATGAAGAAA